TGATGGCTGATTTCTACTTTGTTTGCTGCCACCTTTCCCTATTTTCAAATTACTTGTGTCCTAAGTCAATTTATGCTTTCCAGGTGGCTTAGGAAGTGGTTAGCAGTGTGTCCAGCTGGTTTTTATTTGGATGCAATCACTCATTCCATAGTCTTTCCTGAAAACGTTCTTGTCAACGCAGGCTAGCATAGGCTTCTCCCTGGACACGAAGATCTATGTTTCCTTCTGGGAAAGGCACTTACATGCCCACCTGCTCTTCCTGGATTTACAGTATTTACTGAGGAGATTGTGCATCTGTCCTGCCTACTCTTTACTCTTCCACCTGACTTATTTTTATTTGGCCTTAAGCAATAAAAGATGACCAAAAAGGTAGAAATGATGTATTTCTAGGTGCCACAAGGGAATGTGAGAGCACAATTTTCTCCCACTTCACTGAAGATGAAGCCTTAAAAGTAATTTTCCCATTTGATCAGTCAGTCCTAGAAATATGCTTCAGGAAAGACCAGCTGGTCAGAATTTAATTTTTAATCAATTCATAAAGTTTGCACTTCTTGCAAAACACTAACAATAAACAGCAGCATTGGGCAATGCGTTTGGTGGATAAGGACATCAATAGTTGTAAGAAACAATATGGGTGCTCCGAATGATAATCTCAATTTAGTACAAGAGCATGCTAGTTGTAACCTTCATACTTGCTCCCTCTCCCTGATTGACATGACTGATTTTTTTGGCCAGGTGGGAAGCCCTTCTCTACTTACTCAGGTGCTCCCATCCTGAGGCTGGTTGCTCAGCCCAGTAGGACCCCTTTCTAAGAGACAGGAAAGCCATGAATACCTATATTCTGTTCTTAAAATTAAAATCCTTTCCCTTTCATTACTCTCTGACTTGTACTTTTCTTCCTCATCTACACAATTTAGTTTGTAACTTGTTGTCTATAGGTTGCTCATGAGTGGATTTTAGAGAATCGCTGGTCCATTGTTCTGAGGCAAGATGTCTATAGTGCTCATGGATTCCTTTTTTTTGTTTAAGGTTTATTTATTTGAAAGGAAGAGTCACATAGAGAGAGGATGTGACAGAAAGAGAAAGAGAGCTTCCATCTGCTGGTTCACTCCACAAAGAGCCATAATGTCCAGGACTGGGCCAGGCCAAAGCCAGGAGCCAGAAACTCCATCCAGGTTTCCCACATGGGTGGCAGAGGCCCAAGTACTTGGGCCAGTTTCCATGGCTTCCCACACATTAGCAGAGAGCTGGAGCAGAAGGAAGAGCTGAGGCTCATATTGGGATGATAACACTGCAGGCAAAAGCTTAAGCTGTTGCGCTACAATGATGGCCCCAGCGGATTCTTTTTTTTTTCTTCTTCTTCTTTTAAGATTTATTTATTTATTTGAAAGTCGGAGTTACACAGAAAAGAGACACAGAGAGAGGTATCTTGCAATCACTGTTTGATTCTCCAAATGGCCACAAAGACTGGGGCTGGGCAGGCCAAAGCCTGGAACCAGGAGCTTCTTCTGGGTCTCCCACATGGGTGCAGGGATCTAAGCGGTTGGGCCATCCTCTGCTGCTTTCCCAGGCACATTAGCAGGGAGCTGGATTAGAAGTAGAACAGGCCGGCGCCGCGGCTTAATAGGCTAATCCTCCACCTAGTGGCGCCAGCACACTGGGTTCTAGTCCCGGTCGGGGCACCGGATTCTGTCCCGGTTGCCCCTCTTCCAGGCCAGCTCTCTGCTGTGGCCCGGGAAGGCAGTGGAGGATGGCCCAAGTGCTTGGGCCCTGCACCCCATGGGAGACCAGGAGAAGCACCTGGCTTCGGATCAGTGCGGTGTGCCAGCCGCAGCGCACTGGCCGTGGCGGCCATTGGAGGGTGAACCAATGGCAAAAGGAAGACCTTTCTCTCTCTCTCTCTCTCTCTCTCTCTCTCTCACTATCCACTCTGCCTGTCAAAAAAAAGATACAATAATATCTATATACTCTAGGTATAAACAGCCAGGACTCAAACTGGAGCCCATGTGAGATGCCTGCACTGTAGCTATGGTTTAATCCTCTGTGCCACAGTGCACCTCCCCCACAAGTGATTCTTAAAGAAGATCTGAACCTGAACAATTAAAGTCAATGTTAAAGGCTGATGTTAAATTTTGTAACTAAGGGGCCAGTACTGTGGCGCAGTGGGTTAACGCCCTAGCCTGAAGCACCGCCATCTCATATGGGCACCAGTTAGAGACCTGGCTGCTCCACTTCTGATCCAGCTCTCTGCTATGGTCTGGGAAAGCAGTAGAAGATGGCCCAAGTCCTTGGACCTCTGCACCCACGTGGGAGACCTGGAAGAAGCTCCTGGCTCCTGGCTTCAGATTGGCACAGCTCTGGCCGTTGCAGCAAATTGGGGAGTAAACCATCAGATGGAAGACCTCTCTCTCTGCCTCTCCTCTCTCTGTGTAACTCTGACTTTCAAATAAATAAATAAATCTCAAAAAAATTATAACTAAAATAATCCTGATATTTCACAGTTACATCTAGTGTATGTCACAGCTAAACTATGAAATGTTTATTTCCTATAACATCATTGATTCCTTTGAATGCATGAATCTTGCAGAACTTTCCTATGACACTTCCACTCACAAACCCTTTTAGGCTCTGGAGGATTTATTCTGTATACATTACTGTTATCACACCACCAGTGTGAATCCTGGAGTACAACCACATACTCTGGACACTAGGAACTGGATTTATGATCGTAACCCATGCGACTCTAAAAAAAAAATTGAATATTGGTATTTTTAAAAATACCAAATCATGGTGATTATTGAAATCTTAGCTCTACATTTTGTTGTTGTTGTTGTTTTCAGAATAATCTTTAGGGCCAGCATTGTGGCGATGTGTGCCAGTTGGTGTCCCAGCTGCTCCACTTTCCAACAAACTCCCTGCTAATGGCCTGGGAAAGCAGCAGGAAATGACCCAAGTTTTTGGGCTCCTGCCACCCACACATATTACTTGGGATCCCCCATACTCTAGTGAGGTGCTTGGATTCAAGTCCTGGCTCCACTTCTGATTCTAGCTTCTTATTAATATGGACCCTGGGAGACAGCAAGTGATGGCTCAAGTTGTAAGGTCTCTGGGCTCCTGGCATAGGCCTGGCTCAACTCCAACAATTTTTTTTTTATTTTTTTTTTTATTTTTTTTTTTTTACAGGCAGAGTTAGACAGTGAGGGAGAGAGACAGAGAGAAAGGTCTTCCCTCCATTGGTTCACCCCCCAAATGGCCGCTACGGCTGGCGCACTGCACCGATCCAAAGCCAGGAGCCAGGTGCCTCTCCTGGTCTCCCATGCGGGTGCAGGGCCCAAGCACTTGGGCCATCCTCCACTGCCTTCCTGGGCCACAGCAGAGAGCTGGACTGGAAGAGGAACAACCGGGACAGAATCTGGCGCCCAGACTGGGACTAGAACCCCGGGGTGCCGGCGCTGCAGGCGGAGGATTAGCCTATTGAGCTGTGGTGCCGGCCAGTACTTGATCTTTTGACCTCAGTTTATGAGGGGCCTTCTGCATGGATTTCAAATTTATTTTTGCAGTAAAATAAACTTTTTTTTAAATTCAATTTTCCACAAACTTTTTGAAGTTCTCTCAGATATGTTAAAATATTTTTCAAAGGCCTGTATTCTGCACCATAGACCAGCTCCCTGAGCCATGTGATCAGATCCCAGCTGGGCCACTTAAAAGCTATGAAACTTCAAAGCAAGTCCTTCAAATGCTATGCTGTATCCTTATCTAAGAGAGAGGCTCATTCTATTTGCCTCAAGGGGCTGTTTGACTCCTGGGTGACTAAAAAGGGGCGTTAGCAGATTGGTACCCTTGTTTATATATAACAGAGAAAGGGAATGCAAATTCATCCTATAGCCTAAGGGCTCCTATTCCTATCCTGCAGAGGTGGGGTGGGAAGGTCACAGTCTGAGAATCACCTCCAAATTTCTCTCTACTACATCTTTCTCTTGCTTTCTAACTGTAAAGAAAGGCTAAGCCTTAATTAAGCCTCCCAGTGAAGATTACCTACCACAGGTTAAAATCTAATACAGAGCATATAGATATCACAGGGTCTAAGCCTTAGGTTGAAGGACAGATGCCCTAGCAAGGTAAGTGGCGTACTTTCTAGACCAGAAGCCATGCTTGGTCAGCAGGTGCTTTGGTTATAGCCAACAGGTGTGTACTGGAGCCCTCCACACACTGACCCGCAGGTATCTACATAGATGTGAGGCTGGGAGGCTGTCTTTCCTTCCAGTTATATGAGCCACAATTTTTCCTTATTCTTAAAAACCCCTATCACTAGAATAACAAATATTTTACTTAAAAAGTTGATTGGGGGCAGGAATTGTGGTTCAAGGAGTAAAGCCACTGCCTATAATGCCAGCATTCCAAATGAGCACTGGTTCGAGTCCCAGATGCTCCACTTCTGATCCAGCTCCCTGCTAATGTGCCTGGGAAAGCAGTGGTGGATGGCCCAAATGTTTGGGCCCCTGCACCCATGTGAGATACCTCGATGGCATTCCAGATTACTGGCTTCAACTGGCTGAACCCTGGTCATTGCAGCCATTTGGGGAGTGGGCCAGCGGATGGAAGAGGTATCTATGTCTTCCTCTCTCTGTGTAACTCTGCCTTTCAAGTAAATAAATAAACCTTTTTAAAAAAAAGAGTTGGATTTTTGTAGGAAAATTAATTTACTCCTTGTCTGTGCAGCTAATTCTATATTTTCATTATGTATACTCTGTAAATATTCTTGTTTGAATAATTTTCAAATATGTATACTTGTTTAATTTTTTAAACATAACAAATACAGATTTTTTTATATATATGAATATCCTTTACATTTAAAGAAAGGACTTGAGCAGTGTTTTGGGTAGCTCTTTGCACCAGTTCTATCAAATTGGAAACTGAACCTATGCTTTTTTCTTTTGAATAAATAACATATAATTAGTGGGTTTACTCTCTTCTCATGCAAAATATGAAGGAACCGCAAGAAAGACAGATATACATTTTATTTAAAGTAAGCTCGGAGAAAATTTATTAACAAATTTAATACTGCTTGTGTCTAGGGATTATGATTTGGAATCACATGGGCTTCTCAAGTCTGCCAGCAAAGTGTGCAAAATAAATTCCCATCAAATGTGGTCCATGATTGGCTACATATAGCTTTGGGTCTTGGGAAGGCACAGACAGCTAAAAGGTAAAGCAGAAACTCAGTACTTGAACATGTGGAGGAGTACAAAAAAGTAAGAATGAAACAAGTTTGTTAGGTCTGACTTTTAACATGACCAAATAAGAATAGGAAAAGTGCCATAGGGTTAAGTAAAATGAATGGCTGAGGCCCAATAAAAAAAAGAGATATAAATGTGGAAATAAGATTTCAGGCTGCTGGTGTAGCAGGGAGGAATGATTTGTTTCAGAGTTATCTTATTGTGTAGCCAGCAGATCTATGATTCATGAAGGTCTCGCGTGGTTTACCTTTATGTAACCTAGATAATGTAACACAATTACTTTTGTCTTCTTCAAGAACTTCCTTTTAATATTTCTGATTCTCTGCATTTGGGTACCCCCACCCCCAGTTACAAAATTGGAATATAACTGTTGATTTTAGTTCGATGTCTCTGTGAGATGCATTCTGCTATCCATACAATATTTCTCATTTCTTGTTCCTTCAGCTTTACGTAAGCATAAAACACACCATAGTGGAACTGCCTGTTGAATGCCAGCACATTCATTTGTACCTAAGGAAGGAAAAAAAATAACATGCACAATCAGGTTATTTTGAACATACTACCTTTACGAAATAATTAAGCTGCAGAATGGTTTGCACTGTTTAGTACTGACTTGTATTTAAATAGAAAATTTCCAAGTTGGACCAAATAGAGAAAAACTGGCAATTCAGTAAGTTCTCAAGGGAGACTGTCAGTTTGATAAACAGGCAACAGTAGTTTATAAAGCAAGTTTATGGAATCACAAGACAGTTCCAAATCTTGGCAGTACTTTTAGCACATATATTTCCAGGTATATTTTGGGGTATGTTTGTAATTTTGTTGTAAAATTTATGTGAATTCTAGCTAGGGGGCTTAACTCATGTGGGTAAAGTATTTCTTCTTGGCCACAGCTTTTAAAATTTTACATTGTTTTTAGCCATTTAAGTCCCCTTCAGGGCAATGTCACAGGCTCCTGGGACTTTGAGTGACATTTTAAACTTGCTTAGGATCTTCTGCAACAACTTTACATAGAGTTGTTTTTTTCCCCTGCAGAAGTTAAATGTGTAAAAGAAAATTTTAAAAAAATTATTTTTAATTGTAATAAACTTTGACGTAAAACAATTCTTTTTTTTTTTCAATGTTGACACTTAAGACAGAAAAAAAGGAGAGTTAGTTAGTTAGTGCTCATGCAGCTTTGAAAACCTCAAGCTAAGCAGAGAGGAAGTGGAAGCCACTTCTGCTCTCAGGAGTAGGCACTCATTTTTTGTGCCAAATGCAGCTTCCTCATCAGCCTCCTTTGCAGGAATGGTGCAATACTGTGGAATTTTAAAACACCCCTGACACGATAGACAATTTGCCTTGCTTTAATGTCTCTACGATAAGCACTGCAGAGCTGTTGGAAAGTATTTAAAGTGCAGGCCTTACAGAAAGTTTCCTAATCTGTTTTCTGGAGCCAGTCTACCCTAAAGTTTGGGTAACTTTCAGGGTTTGCAATTAGTTTTAATCAGGATAGATTAGGAAGGGCCAATGGATTTAGAGAAATGAATAGAATACAGTGGAAAAATCTTCTAGGCTCAAGGGATCCTACTTGGTACCAACACCATCAAAAAGCCCTTTGTTCTATAGTACAGTCGCCTAGAAATTGACCATAAATGGATTAAGTATTCTTACATCTTTTTAGAGAAAAAGAATCTAGACTCTCTAAACAGATTTCTAATTCCTAAGGGTTACAATTTTGCCCATGTGTTATGTTATAAACAAAGATAAATCCTTTCTGAAGAAGGAATTAGTGAGATGCGCCAAGCAGAAGGAGTGTATTCAGTATTGATCATGATGACAACCTAGCTTTGCTTCTGTAGCTAATTATGAAATAGCTGCATTCTTCCCAAAGCTTCAGTGACTGTACATCTCTCTGAAGAGGACAGCTCTACAGGAAGCTGTCATATGCGAGCCCCAGGATCCTGGCTCTCTACGGCAGAAATACTAATACACTTTGACTAACAACTACAGATCTGCCTAAACAACTGAGCTGATCAACTGTGAAAAGAAAATCCAAAGTAAGAAAATATTTAAAACCCACATAACATTTCCACTTATATATATACCTCACGTTCATAAAACACATCCTCCAATGTCTTTCCCCCACTGCCACCTACAGCATCAAACAACGGCTTGTATACCTTAAAAACAAAGATGAGAAATTAATGCTAAAGAAATTTTCACTTATTTACAAACATATACAAATATATTCCCCAGCAATACAGAAATATGCATCTTTTTTTTTAAAAGCTATACCAGAATTCCTGAATGTTCTTTGGATGATCTTTGGATTTCCTGAGGAAACATGAAAATATCTAAATAACAAGAGAGTGGCTGGCATTACAACCTATTGCTTATTTAGGGCTAAAGGCAGAGGCAAAAGCAATTCTACTGTGAATATACACTGCTTGAGCTATCTCTTATGTTCTTGGGGCTAGCTAGGAACATTATGGAGGCTCAGTGAATGCTTGTGGTTTGCATGCTTGTAGTTTCATGGGTTCTTTGATAAGTGAAAAAATTCACAAGGAATTGTAAGTGTGGCAAGGATTGAAATTTGGGAGAAGCTCAAATCTGAATATATGTTAAAGGATCTCATGCAATCACCTGTGAGATGTTGCGAAGATTTAGGCATCATTCATGGATTTTTATCCTTCCAAGGGGGCTTTAGAAAGCTACAGGGGAAAATGAGGATGATTCTAGTCCAGGAGCACCTACTAGAGGGTGTGTCCCTGATTGTCTACTTGCCCTAGGGAATGAACTGGGGACAAGCTGTATCACACAGATCTGAAGCTCCAGGCCCTTCAAGAGCGGTTGGATGCTGGAGTAGGGGAAGGACATGAGCAGCTCTCTTTGCTTTGCTGAATTCTGGCCACTCAGCAAAGCAAGTGGAAAAACCAGTACATCCTTATTCCCCCTTGCAATCCCTGTAGACATTTCGTTCTGTACCTACGCCTGTTTCCCCAGTGGGTACTTGAAAGGACCCCTGGGTCAGGCTATTTTACATAACTTGGACATGAGCTCATATTTCCAGAACACCACACCAATCTCTTGGGAAACTTGCTTTATCAAGCACTTCAAAAGAAGCACTCAGATGACCACTCCTTGGAGATTTAAGCAAATGCAGACTTGGCAGGAACCTTAGAAAGCACCAGTTTGGACGAGAAACTTGAAGTATTTCTTTGGTAAAGCTAATTCAGCAAGCAACACCACTTGCTAACTCACAAACGTCATAACTTCTTTGGTAAGATTTGCTGTGTGATGCTCCAAAACACATGTGATCAAAGAACACAGGGTACTTAGGGAGCCGGTGTCATCACATACTCCGTAATGTTCTGCTACTCTCTTCATCTGGTCAAAGTCTTCCGCTTGAGCCAAGAGGCGCAGCCCCTCAGGATAAAGCTTGCCACAGGTCGGATAGAGGGTCTCCCGGTCTTCCTTGCTCAATTCAGTGCCAAAGGAGTTAAGAGTGATAATAAAAGCACGTCGGTCGGCCTCGAACTGAATTTGCAAGACATAAAAGGAATGCATTGTAATAATCTACCCAACGTAAACACAACCCTAAGCAAGTTCATTTCTGAAGTGATCTGCAGGCCTTTCCCGATCTATGTCTAATTATAAAGCAGACATATGTTATTAATGTTCCCTTAGACTCTTCTCGGAATGGAGCAACTTCGCCTGCCAGAAAAGGAACACTCTGCAGCGGTGGTGGCCTGTGGCTCTTAAATGTCCATGAAGTTTATTTCCCAGGTACTCTGCAATGAGTTATGTATCCCTGTCACATTGGCCACTAGAGCAAACAAATGTCTCTTTCATTAAAATGGGGATCATACCTACTTCTTGGGGTACAGTCAGGCATAGAACAAGATAATGGAAGTTGAGGTGCCTAGCAGGGGGCTGGGAACAAAAAGTGCATGTGGTGCATTCTAAGTTCCCTTTCTAAATGTGGATGTCAACTAGAAATTATATAATGACACTTTGTGCTACTATTGTTTGTTTGGACTTTCTTGGTTTTAGTTCTTTTTTTTAATGTTCTTGGTCAGACATCAATATGTTTAACTCTCTAAAGATTATATGGTATGAAGAGAGGTATCTTCCTCTTGGTGTCTAAGTCTCCTTATTTGTAAGATGATAGAGTTTGGCTCTATGATCTCCAGGGCAGGTCAACATGCATTCATGGCCTGCTTTCTCTCTGTGTTGGACACCACTTTGCAAATGAGCTCCTAGCTCCTTAGCAGGCTTCTCTATTTCATCTAACCACTCAGTCTTCCTTGAAATTTCTTTTCTTTCCCTTTGGTCTCCATGGTTCTCCTCCTATATACCCTACTCATTCCACCCCAATCTATCTTCCAGATGCTTCCTCTCTGCCTGGTTTGCCATGGTGCACTGGGGCTAAGACTCTCTCTGCTAGGTGCCTGAATTACCCTGGTACCACAGTATTTTGAAATATGTGCCTACACTCTAAAATCTTTTTTTTTTTTTTTACTTCTTACTACTCTCTAAAATCTTTGAGGAAACATCTCTCTTGTTCACTGTTCATTTTTGAATAGCCAGTGCCTGACACATAGGAAGATCTTAGCTGTTTACTGAGTTTAGCAGAGTAGTCTATGACTTTACTACTTTTGAAAATCTCCAATATCTTCTCCAATGTTGCCACTCAAAGTGTGTTTTGTGGCCCAATAGCTTTGATATCACCCAGAAGCTCAGGAGAAATGCAGAGTCTCAGGCCACAGTTCCAACCTACTCAACCAGAATCTACGTTTTAACAAAATTCTGGGGTCATTCTTATACATATGAAAGCTAAAGAGGATTGCTCTACTTTATCCTTTAAGCATTTTTTTTGACTAACTAGCCCACAATACAGCCAGACTTGCGAAGATTTCACTCAAACTTTTTTGTTAGAACAGGTGTGTCCTACCAGAAGGAGAGTGAGTTAGCTGTGTGTGATCCTTTTGATTGCTTTTTACGGGTGAGCCAGACGCAGGGAGTGGCCTTATTTGGAAGCAAAGGCAGCTGCTTCTGGCTACTGAATATAACCAGTCCTGTCTATAATTTTAGGCCTTCTAGGGATAAGAGAAGAAATGTAAGAGGGAGATTTCCTGCCAATAAGAAATCTTAAAATAAAAATTAGGGCAGGAGGAGTCACAGTGGAGGTAATTGCCCCAGATGTTCTTTTATGTGCTTCTCTTTCTAAGACGTTAGGATTTTAAGGAGGAAAATAGAGCAGGGTAGACAGCACTGCAGAAATGCTAGACAATAGAGGCCATGGCAGAGGAGAAGGCTGTATCAAATAAAGCAGGATAGTTTGGTTGCAATTCAAACACAGGGGCAGCAGTTAGAAAAGTGAGGACAGGTAGTTGGGGAGAGAACGTAAAGGGATTCACACACCAGGTCAAGAAGGAAGGGTTTTAACTGATACAATAGGTTGTCTGAACACTCCTTCCACTTTCCAGCTCCTTGTCCTGCTTAGCACTTCAAATGGCCTACAATGTCAATATTCCACTCAATAACTCTACATGTTGTCACATCAGCATCAGATTTCACCCTCTCCATAACAGGCCCTTATACTTCTTTCCTAATTGGATATGATTTCCTTTGAACTTCTACCGTACTTAATTTTCTTTTTATTATAACTGTATAGCCATCTTATTCTTCTAGTCTAGAGATTCTGTATGTGTTAGTGTATGCATCCTCTTTTTGAAAAAATTGTAACTTTGGAATTATAAAAGGACTGTTTATTGACTATCCTGAAGCATAGTTTAGCTTAGCATCTAATTGGGGTGATACTAATTTGATTTAATCCTATTCCCTTTGCAAGAGAATTGGCATGTTGTGTGGTTCAGTGTACAATGGGACTGGAAAAAGCTCAGGGAAAATGCATCTTATAAAGAAATTGTGGGAAGATTTCAATTTTTTTACATGAAAGCAAACTTTTCTTTTCATTCCATTTTTCCATGCTTTTTGAAGTACTGTTATTTGTTAGATGCCTTATGTCTTTCCTTTCATTCTTCCTTATAGATACTCATTGATTCTAAAACCATAACTTATTTTTGTTACTGTTACGAGATATTAAACACATACTGTTGTTCTACGTCATTATTAGTACATTTCACACAGATTGGGTCACATATACTTGCCATTTCCTTACTAGAAGAAGTATACACCCTGTGGGAGCTGCTGGGTGTAGGTGTCAATCGCAATGGAAGAGAATAAAGTGAACTGGAATCAAGCCCAGCCTAATTGTCATGTGCACAAAGAGACATAAAACAAACACTCTACATGCTTCTTTTTTGGTATTCCATTAGCCATATAGACAGAGGAGCAGTAATAAAAGGCAGATGACATAATACAGTGTGTTTGTCTTGAACGTAAGTCAATTTCTTTTATATGAAGGTACAATTTGGTAATTGTCGCATTTTGACATGCAAGCCTATACTAATGTTCTTTTCCACCATATTAATACTTTTGTAGTCTACAGCCAAATGTGATTAAATGAAAATCCATGGAACTTTATCAACTTTAAGTCCTCTGTAGTTACACAAATAAAAACAAAGGTATTACACAATCTAAAATTGTATGAATTTATGTAAAACTGACAGATCTCTGACAAATCAATATGAAGATTATTATTGCATGCCATGTATAGCTGGTATCTCTATAAATATAGTTGAAGATAGATTTTTATTTTTAGAGCAGTCTGAAGAAATTAATCTAATCTGATAGTGCCATGAGGTTCAGAAAGGGAAAATGAGAACAGTGGGCATACTGTGTTTGATCAAATCTTCCCACTAACAAGCATTTTTCTAATACTATGCTGTCTATTTTTACATTTCTAAGGATTCTAAAGACATAATTGTTGTCTATTTCTGATTTTTATGTGTACACAGTAGGATCTTGCTTGTGAATTAACACTCACTTATATACAAAAAATTATGAATGGCGAATTAACTGCACAGGGAATATTGCAGAGTGGAACATTTTTCCTAATAAACACTTAGGAACTGGAACCAGGCTGCGTGGGTTCAGATCTCGAAACCACCATGTATTAGCTGCATGATGTCCTTCTCTAAGACCCAGTTGCCCCTTCTGAAAAGTTGATGTTAAAATTCCCATCTTGTGAAGCTTTAAAGTCCAAGTGAATTCATGTAGATAAGACACTCAGTATCTAGTACATAGTAAACATTAGCTATTAATAATGTCATTATATACCTATTGTAAAGTTGTAAATTTTAACACAACTTTCCTTTCACATATTTTGTGGGTATAAAGGACACAAACCATTGCTAGACCACAAGAATCATCTAAAGTAGAAACTATACTTTTGATCCATAGATAATATGGCTTCATAAAGTGTGGCTAGTAGGAAAACTTATGGGAAAAGGGGGGGAAGCTTCACAGAGTCACTGGGTTGTCTGTGTTATAGGATCAGAATGTCTGAAAGAGACTACGTAACTTTCTGACACTTGGTATGCCATGAAATAAATATTATTTATTTATGTGATGATCACTTTCTGTGTACTATAGGTATGGACCAAAAGTTTTTTGCAGCTCTCCAGTGTTATGATGTTTATTTCAAGGACGATTTTGGTTTTATTTTAAGAATTTTAACAGGGGATAGCAAATTATCTTTAACAGTAAAATTATAATGATTAGATGGTTTGAGGGGAGCTAATTTTAATCACATGCAGTTTTAGAACATTAGATTAAAATATATGCAGATGATGATGCTAGTTTTTCTTTAAAATTTTTGCCTAAAGGCTACGTTTGTTAGGCTTTTCTTTCTTTCTTTCTTTTTAAATTTATTGGACAGGTAGAGTTTTAGACAGTGAGAGAGAGAGACAGAGAGAAATGTCTTCCTTCCATTGGTTCACTCCCCAAATGTCAGTATATGTAAAACTGACAGATCTCTGACAAATCAATATGAAGATTATTATTGTATGCCATGTATAGCTGGTATCTCTATATAAACATAGTTGAAGATAGATTTTTATTTTTGGAGCAGTTTGAAAAAAATCTAATCTAATCTGATAGTGCCATGAGGTTCAGAAAGGGAAAATGAGAACAGTGGGCATACTGTGTTTGATCAAATCTTCCCACTAACTAATCTGCCGGCACTGCGCAGATCCAAAGCCAGGAGCCAGGTGCTTCCTCCTGGTCTCCCATGCGGGTGCAGAAGCCCAAGCACCTGGGCCATCTTCTACTGCCTTCCCAGGCCACAGCAGAGAGCTGGACTGGAAGAGGAGCAACCGGGACTAGAACAGGCACCCGTATGGGGATGCCAGCGCTGCAGGCAGAGGATTAACCAAGTGAGCCACGGCACTGGCCTTCTTCCTTTAATTTTTTTAAAGATTTATTTATTTATTTAAAGAGTTACACAGAGAGGAGAGGCAGAGAAAGAGAGAGGTTCACTCCCCACTTGGCCACACAGCCGGAGCTGCGCCGATCCAAAGCCAGGAGCCAAGAGCTTCTGGTCTCCCATGTGGATGCAGAGGCCCAAGGACTTGGGCCTTTTTATATTGCTTTCGTAGGCCATAGCAGACAGCTGGATCAAAAGTGGAGCAGCCAGGACTCGAACTGGGACCCATATGGGATGCTGGCACTGCAGGTGGTGGCTTTAACCACTACGCCACAGTGCCAACCCCTAGGCTTTTCTTAAAATCAGAAGTCTTCAAGCTATTTAAATATCCGCCCACCAGTGAAGTCACTATAACACATAGCTTCGTCATTAAGAATGTTCTTTAAATAAAACTTAGTTTCACAAGGCAAAGCAATGGTTTAGATAAAGCCCAAAATGTTTTTTCTTATTCTTTTTTATTTCATTTCAATGAATTAGGAACCAAGCAAGAGATGTAAATAAAATATTTGAGTGTTGGCCGGCACCGCGGCTCACTTGGTTAATCCTCTGCCTGTAGCACTGATACCCTGGGTTCTAGTACCGGCTGGGGCACCGGGTTCTAGTCCCGGTTGTTCCTCTTCCAGTCCAGCTCTCTGCTGTGGCCCAGGAAGGCAGTGAAGGATGGCCCAAGTGCTTGGGCCCTGCACCTGCATGGGAGACCAGGAGGAAGCACCTGGCTCCTGGCTTCGGATCAGTGCAGTGCGCCGGCCGTAGCAGCCATTTGAGGGGGTGAACCAACAGAGGGAAGACCTTTCTCTCTGTCTCTCTCTCTCTCTCTCTCTCTCTCTCACTGTCTAACTCTGCCTGTCAAAAAAAAAATTCAAGTGCAAATTCTATCCAGGATGCCCTCAGATACTTCTGATCCATGCCTCAGTCTCCATACACTTGCAGGCCAACATTCTCATGCAAGAGGACCTCTGAGCATTGATGAAATCTCTGCCGATAGTGAGAAATTACAAATAGTGTAGCATCCACTAGAGAAGTGGACACCAAAGGTGGCATTTTCTGCATAATGAAATGAGCTTGCCAACCAGGAATTGCCTAGTTGAAGGAGTCTTCCTGCCAAACTGGGATGCTCAAGAGTTGTTTGCTGTGGACTTTATTTTAGGGTTCAATTATCACTGTGGCTGGATCCACAGTGGACTTTGGTGTCAAGTTTCGGGGATTTCCCAGCTGCTCAGTCTTCCTTCATTGGAGGGAATTTTGATGATCATTATAGGAGTACTTATAGTTCACCAACTGCTCATAGTACACTAAATTTTTAGTTTAATTATAATCTACTTTCTACATACTACATCAAAATGAATCATGACCAAACTTTTATAAGCTTTTTCTGTTCTAATTCCAAATCAACTCTTCTATATAAAAAACTTGGGAAATACTACTCCTAACATCAAATAAAATAAACAATAATATGTACTGCTTATTTCATTTCTAGATAGAAGCTTCTAACGTAAAGAAATAGAATTAGGGTCAAAACAACAAACATTGTATAGGCACATTTTTTTGGCATAAAAAATTACAAGACTCTTCCTTACCTCAAGAATGGGACACATAATTTCTGCCGTGACATCACCATGATTCTTACAGAATTTATAGAATGCTTCAAGATAGGACTTAAAAAGAAGAAAGAACAATAAAATGAATGTATTTTCCTTTTGGAAACTTCCTATTAAATGCTTTAATGGAAATTGAATTACTTCTTCAATAGAGAGCTATTTTATAATAAATTTGGTAGACTTTCATGTTTTAGCATGTTGCATAGACTAAGAAAGAGCTCCATTTAAAAAACATAATGACTTAACATTTTTTTTGCATGGTTCTTGGACATAGTTCACATAGTTAATTTTTACTATTCTAGTAAGACTGCAAAGTCCTTTTATGAGTTCAGAAAAATGCTTCTAGGGGCCCTATGCTGATATTTAATCTCTTAAAAACGCATTTGGGATGGCTTTAAATATGGAGATGATTTGGAAAGACAAGAGAGTTTGGGCTGTAGGCTCAGCCTGCTTGAATTTGAATGCAAACTCTAATACTTACAAGTTAACTGACTGCTGCCCTTCTTCTCATTTGAAGAATGGCGATAGGATGAATGTCATAGTTTTGCAGGTGAATTAATGAGTTAAGGCCTTTAAGTGCCTTCTAACAGTATCTTCTGTTAGGTATGTTCCAAAGATGCCTCTTCCAAGCCCATAAATCTCAGTATGAAGAGGCAAATTGCCTGCATTGCAATAAGTCTCTGTATGAAGAGGCAAATTGCCTGCAATGCAATACTTTTGAGAGAACCATGTATTTGAGTATAACATTATATATATATGTGTGTGTGTGTGTGTGTGTGTATAAAATTATATATATGTGTGTGTACACACATATATGGAGAGAGAGAGAAGCAGTAACCATTGAGTTTCTATGTGAGTGTGCAAAGATGCTATGGGTATGTGAGTAAAAATGGACATAGAGCTACTGAATGTGGGCAACATAGTTGCCATATCTTCAGAATACAGTCTTGAAAGAATGGAGCTAAAAGCAGACATTATCATGCAAAATAAGTGAATCAATCGCAAGGTTACAAACCAAAGAAAATGTCTCATGAGCACACCAGCCTCTGCTCACTACTGATGAGAACACTGTAGAATTGCAATCCACACACTCAGTAAAACTAACAATAATCAGCACAGATTATGCAATGGTACCTATGATGCCATGTCTGTCTACCAGTTGGTCATTCTGATATTGTTGCACACTGTACATTAAAATCGTATGGGCAAGATAACTATGAGATTCAGGGACTCTAACAGAATCAAGAACAAAGATAGAGTTTACATACTATTTACTATGTATTATGTTAGCTTTAAATGGATTGATACAGTTCATATAACTTTTCTATCCATTTACTTATCAGCATACAATTAATACCTTTTATGTACCAGGCAATGTGCAAGGAACCAAGAACATAAAAGAATAAGAGATGCTATTTCCCCTCAAAAGTCTTGCTAGCTGCAGATGCTGACACATGTTTTTAACTAGAAGATAGGCCAGGGCTATAAAAGGTAGATTCCAAGTATGCATAGCTTCATAATTGCAGAATTTGGCTAATGGGCAAAGTAACTTTTAATAAATAACTCTAGTTGTGATATATAATCAAGAGAAGCATATTTGGGAAAACCATTACCTTATACAGTTTATTGCGCAGTAATTCAATATTCAGTTCATCTAGAGTATTTTCAGACATACAGTCTTGAAAGAATGGAGCTGAAAGCAGAAATTATCATACAAAATAAATGAATCAATAGCAAGATTATAAACCACAGAAAATATCTCCTGAATACACCAGCCACTCCTTACTACTGCTGAGAACACTGTAGAGTTGCAATCCACAGACTCAATAAGGTTAACAGTAATCAGGATGACAGGAGTGAATTTTTATCAAACATTTACTGTGGAAAAGCCCTAAACATTACCCTAAACACTGACTATCCTTCAATTTATTTAACTCTTACCACAGAACTATTCACAAGATTTGTAGAAAGTCCCCTGCTCCATGTAATCTAATACAATATTTATCATTTGCAATCTTATTATATGCCAGGCATTGAGTTATACTAAAACTGAGTTTCCAAAACTCTGTTATAGTAAGGTAACAATTATTTCTAAAATGAGGACACTGAGGTGAATTTAATTGCCTCAAATCACTTTGGTGGGACCATCCAGAGCCTGGTTTCAAGTTCATGATATGACACTGTGTTTATAGAAAAGAAATGATTTAGGTGTACATTTTCTAATGACTATGATAACATACACATAATGACCTATGTATTCATACCTAGCGGTGTTTCCACCAGTACAGCATTAAAGAGATCCGAAGTTGTCTCTGCAATGTTCACTGCTTCCATTTCTGTGAACCGGCCCAGTGGATGGCACTTCACCAGAATTTCCTTCACGGATTTTTTTTGTAGTGCACCATTCATCAGCAGGATCACGTTGTCTATCATGTAACTGCACCTGGTTTACAGGAAGACTGACTCATTAGGAAAACCTTAAGATAAGAAGCATCCCACAAATAAACCATACAGCTCAGACACATTTTCTATCATTAAAAGGAATTTTATTCTTTTTTTATTTTAACTTTGGGGGATTAAGAGATGTGAGTGGGTGGAACATAGCTGACTCTCTGGAGGTGTCACTGTTCGAAAAACCATATTCATTGTTATAACAACTAACAAAAGCAGAATGAAAGCGTGGCTGGTGGGAATATGCAGAAAACAGCTCCTACAGAAACTGTCAAAGTGTTGGGAGGGGGTGACTGTGAAATTATTTTATCTGAATGGACTCTGGGCTTGAAAAGTTTAGAAATATAGATCTAGAGCATCTCATCCTACTTGAAATACTATTTAAATCTGCAATGAAGCCTAACAGAGGACTCAAATAGAATTCTAAAACTATTCGGTGTTCCTTTCCCGCTATGAGACCAAATAGTGAATTTTTCAGCCTACCCTTCCCCCTCAGATTCCCAAGAGTCCCGAAGTTCATATTTCATGTGATTTCTTTACTTGGTTTGGGCTCTTCCTGGGACATTCTGGGTGCATGTGCTTGTTCACTCATGTGCTCAGCACACTGGATATTCTAAGCAATGAGGTCAAGAAGCAAACAAGACCCAGTTCCTCTCTTCAAAGTGAACACAGCTTAAGGGAAGAACTGGAAAAAAAATTTCAGTAAATTACAAGGAAGCATACACGCTATGCAACAGAAATTATAGGGTGGTGTGAGGATGTAACTGGGACCAGTCCAGGGATCAGATTTCCTAGGGAAGTGGTATTCAAGCTGAAACTTGAAGCGGCAGCAGGAATTGTCTAGGCAAAAGAGGCTGGGAATTGGGGAAGAGTGTTTCAGACAGAAGGAAGAGAATCTGAGAAGTGCCAAGATGAGAGCATAGGATATTCAGGATGCTGCTTTCGCCTGGAGCCAAGGCTCAGGGGAGGGCATGCTGGGTCCTGAAAGGCAAGACTCAGAATTCGCATGCTGGGGACAGTGGAGAATACTGAATGCTTTTAAACTAAGGAGTATCATGATCCATGCATTAAATATTGAAATAGGAGAACTATGAAAACAATAAGAGTGCTAGAAGAATTATAAGTATTGCAAGAATTATTAAAACAAAACAGGAAGAATGAAAACATTCACTGCAACACATATGGTGAGGCACTTTACAAAAGTTATTTAATCATGGTAACAACAGTATGAAGTGGGTACTATTATTATTTCATTTGCACAGCAGATATTCCAAGTCTAGAGAGATCAAAATCTAGCCCATAATGACACACAGCTAACAAATGGGAGAGTGGAGAATAAAATTCAGGCAGTCTGCTTTTGGAATCTTAACTCTTAAATCTCATATTATGCTGCTTTGGTGGTTGAGGTCCATTTGTAGATTTCTAGGTTGAACAGGTTGTGTAGCCATTTATTGAGGTGAGAGCATTGGAGGGAGAGGGGGTAGTGGTGGGTGTGGATTTTTGGACAAAATTAATTTAAGATGCTAGGAGCTACTGAAAGGAGACTCCAAATGCACTTACAAATCCTGGGTCTTGAACATGTGTGCAGACAAGAGAGCCTGGGCAGGGGGCTAGCAGTGGGGTGGTCAGAGGGAGTCAGAGTAGTTGACTGAAAGGAGAAGCTAAAGTCTTAGGAATAATTAGGATCACATCCTAGAGGGCATGGGAAGACTGATTTCCTGAAAATTCCAGGGAACCCCGACCTTTAAGAACTTTGAAGGAGACAGGGAGAAATGACCAGACGAGAGCTAAGAAACAAGGGCAGTGAATTCTGGGAAGTTCTGGAGACTTCTAGGAAGAAGTGATCAGAGTGTAGAGGCCACAGGTGAACCACGGTAAACATTGAGGCAGACATCAATAGGATACAGCAATGAGATTTCATCTGGGAAGGCAATGAATCACTCTGGAGTGTTCTTGTTGGGGAGGAAAGAGCAAGGAAGGAAGACGCCTGACTACTCTGTTTAAAACGAATGGTAATTAAGAGGCTCAAAAATGAGTTCACCCTAAAAGCTGACCTCAGAGGCCGGCGCTGCGGCTCACTAGGCTAATCCTCTGCCTGTGGTGCCAGCACCCCGGGGGTTCTAGTTCTGGTTGGGGCGCCGGTTCTAGTCCCAGTTGCTCCTCTTCCAGTCCAGCTCTCTGCTGTGGCCTGGGAAGGCAGTGGAGGATGGCCCAAGTGGTTGGGCCCTGCACCTGCATGGGAGACCAGGAGGAAGCACCTGGCTCTTGGCTTCAGATGGGCGCAGCACGCCGACCGTAGCAGCCATCTGGGGGGGTGAACCAACGGAGGGAAGATCTTTCTCTCTGTCTCTCTCTCTCTCACTGTCTAACTCTGCCTGTAAAAAAAAAAAAAAAGCTGACCTAAGAGGAAGAGACAATATTCAATATTCAGATGGAGATCTGGAGGCCAAGGAAGCTGTTTTTTAGTTTTAGTATTTGCTTTTTGTTTTTCTGAGGTTAAAGGGAAGTGAAGATATTTAGGTGCTGAAGGGAAAGAGGAGTGAGAAAGTGAGGTTGCAGATCAGATGTGGAAGGGGCAGCCCAATGACACCTGGAGGGTCTCTAGGTTTGACAGTGATGGGAGCTTAATCACTGACTCAAGACAGATGTGAAAAATTACACTTTTCCCTGGATAGAACACTAACTCAGACCCTGGGAGGCATTGTCATTGATGACTGGCAGCGCGGGTTACTGACATCCTGTGCAAGAGCTCGTTTTTGGCCAGAAGAGCATTGTAGAACATCCACAGTTTACCTCAATAAAGATCTTAACTAAAGACGATTTTGAAGCAGGAATTATCCCTTTATAAAAAGCACATGACAGTAAAGTTTCTTCACCTCCCAAACAGCAGTACCAAATTTAGACATCCTGGGATTTTAGAATCATTTTTATCTCTTGAAAATTATATTAAAATAGAAGTGCTTATTTAACTGTCCCTTCATGGCTCAAAGGCAATTACCTGAGAGGGGAACTGCCAGCGCTTAATAAGTTCCTTAGCAGACTCTAGACATTTAAGTGTTCTCTATTTCAACCTTGGATTGTAAAAGCATATAAGCTGCAAATACTCCCAGTTTGCAGGGGACCTGCAGACCAATACTGATAGGCAATCAATGTCAAGGCTGTGAGTAGGTTTTCACCCACATGCAATATCTAAGCCTATACCTTTAAAGTATGTGCATGTGTGTACTGAGCACTTTCTTCTTCTTCTTCTTCTTCTTCTTCTTCTTCTTCTTCTTCTTTTTTTTTTTTTAACAAATAATTAGGCTAGCTTCTCCATTGCAAGGAGAAAGGGTCTCATAGATTGGGTTCGATTTAATTTCAACTGGTATTATTTGAGTGGCCCTGTTTGCTTTGAAAATGGAATGCCAATACCTGTTATCATAGTGTTATTTAGGAAATGAAGTGAAAACTCAGAGATTGGCACATTCTGGGGTGGGGGTGTGGGGTGGGTAAGGTGTGTCACTTTCCTGTCTCCTCTCTCCTCCCCATCACACATGTGCACTAGGTATATAATTAACACTGGATATGGGAGTGGCGGAAGATAAGGTGCCCAGAAGACAACTTATTTTCTCCAGATTGTAGTCTTTATGGACTTCCGGGGCTATGCATATGGTAGTGGTTAGGAATGAAATGATTGCTAATGTTGCCTGAGTAATGTTTGAACCTGAAGACACCTGGTGGTTCACCTAGTCCAAGTCCTTGATGTTTTAAATGATTGTGCTCATACATAATCACAGAGTCAGGCTTACTGCTCATTCGTTCAGGTCAATTTTTCTTCTAGATCTAGACATGCATTATTATTTTTAGTGTTTTCCAAATGTTTTATTCTATAAGCCTGATTTTGACGCCTGTGAAAATAATGACATCAACTACAATAATGATAGAGTAAATTACTCAATTTCAGCAATATTTTTGGTTGCAAAAATGCACGTTTTTAAATGGCAACTCTTCCTAAAGTTTTCCTTGTGTGGCAGGCATTATTTGTAGGTCTTCAGTCCAGCTTTACAACAGTTCAATGCTGTAAGGACCATTCTCATCACCTCTTAACTGATAAGGACACTGAAGCACAGAGGAATTCAAAACTTTGCCAAGATCACACGGCTGAGAAGCAGCAGAATGGGACTCCAAGAGCCAAAGGTCTGGTTCCCTGGTAGGTGTTGATAACACAGCTCAAGCCAGATAATATTTTAACTTTTCTTCTTGTTCTTAGAGCTGGTCTTTCTCTTCTTACTCTCTTATTTAAGGATCTTGAAGATAACAAATACATTTTCTGCATGATAACTATCGAATTCTTGGCTGAATTAGCAATTGCTTAAGTCTCAAACTATTTAGAGCCCTCATTTGGTGAGTTAGAAGAACTGTTTGTTTATGGGTAAACATTCTAATACATCAGTGGCAAGAGCCATAGCTGAGCAAGGACTGTCACTCAGTAAGCATTCTGGCATGAGACAGAAAAAGAAGTGCTTTCTAAGAAAAACTGGTGAAGATTTGCAGTGTGTTTCCCCTTCATGGCACCACCTGCCCCTTAAAATTTTGTAAAAAGATTTATTCACTTATTTGAAAGGCAATGACAGAGAGGAGAGACAGTGAGGGAGATACAGAGAGAAGTTGGGATCTTCCATCCCACTGTTTCGTACCCCAAATGCCTGCAATAGCCAGTGCTGGGTTAAGCTGAAACCAGAAGCCAGGAACTCCATCTAGGTGGCTCGCATGAGTGGCAACTGCTGCCTCCAAGGTGTATCAGTAGCTGAATCAGAAAAGGAGGTGACACTCCCAGGCACTTTGATAGAGCATGCTGGTGTCATACCACAACGCCTACCCCACATCCACTCCTTTCTCATCTACCATCCCAGCCCCTAGAAAACACAAATCTATTCTTCTCTATAGTTCTGCCATTTTAAAATTGAGAACTAGAAGTATACTTGCACAATATGTGACATTTTGGGATTGGAT